TATTTATTACTTGAGCGATACGTATACTTGCGTTTGAAATTGTGACTTTACAAAATCAGTATAAATATATAAATCTGGGTTCATAAATTCTTGCATATATAAAGTCACTGTCAGGTGACTAGAAATAACCATAAATATGAAGTCTTTCACCACACGCCTCATAATATTGTTACTCTCATTGTGGCTAATTTTCTTAAAGCTTCTAAAGCTGGTGGTGGTGCTCATAACTCGCTTCAACCTGGGAATGGTAGGAGACCAATTTTGATAAATTGGAGTCAACCTTCCCACGGTAGGATTAAAGTTAATATTGATGGAAGCTTTAGTAGGGAAGCTGCAGGGATAAAAGGATTGTTCCGAGATATAAAAGGGCAATGCCTTGTTTTCTTTACTTTTCCCCGCTTTGCTTCGTCTTCTCTGGAAACTGAGACATTGGCAGTTTTGGCTTCTTTGAATGTTACAATTTCTTATGGCTTTTTAAATATTGTGATGGAAACATATGCTCAACAATTGTTTCACATACTAACAGGTAAGATAAAACCCCTTTAGACTATTATAATTTTGTTGAACCAGATCAGAAAGGTGGTGGCCACTTCTTATATTACTATTCAATACACTTTTACTCATAAAGAAAGTAACTTTCCTGCGGATTGGTTAGCTAAGAAGGGGTATCTTGGTATTATCATTGGTGACACTCCTCCTCCCCGTATCTACACTCTAATTCATGGTGATGTTTTGGATGCCCCCTATCTATGGGCTTAGCGTTTTTTGCTTATTTGGGAATTCTGGCTATGGTTTTTGGTTTTTGGATTTGGTTCGCGACTGGCTGGTTATATGCTTGCTGGAATTTTGGTTTACATTCTATGAATGTTCAGGCTTCTGTTAGTGAACTTATGGCATTTCTATTTCTATCTTCTTTTTGTTACTTTGCATCCATGCAGAATTTTCTGCACGTTTTATTTTACGGTGGCTACAGAGGGTTTTCTTTCAGGTTACTATTTGAGAAAGACTACATTTTTCTTATATGGGATAGGCCTTTGGCTTTCGGTTTCTGCGGGTGCTGGAATTTTTTTGATTGGTTTCACTGCCCAAGTTGTTTTCACTCTTATTGTATTAAGTGCTTGAGGATTGGGAGCCTTGGATGGTTTTTAAGAGGTTTCAGATGCTTTACGCTGTTTTTTTTAAGTTTCTTTTTATCTGTTTACACTGGGCGCACTATTGAAAACCTTATGTGGTTCATGATGAGCCTTGAGAAGCCTTCTATTACCTTAAGAATTTATCAAGATAGGGACACTCCTGGATGCTTACCGAGGGGATATTATTTTTTTCTCCTTTTGTTTTTTGCTAGCTTACTTTTCTTACACTTGTTGAGTTGTTTTGCTTTGGTTAGGAAGCTTGGGAGTTTTTTATTTTACTGTGTTGCATGTAAGCGACCACTTAGTCTCAATACAGGCTACATAATTTGGCCTTTTAAACGGGTTCCTGCTATGGACTCTTTGTTGATAGTTGCGGGGCAATTACGGGGTGTTCTGACGGTTTTGTTTTTATTTTATCTATGCTACTGATCTTTGACCAAAGAAAAATATGTTGAGATTTTCATACCTATTTTATATTGTTTTTGATGATATTGCACTTTAAAGAAATATATTTTTGATGTTTTGTTGCAGGAATGATGAATTAGGGTCATTGGAGCAAAAAGATGAAAAAAAGAGCGAATTTGGAGCGAAAAGGACCAAAATAGCCAAAATGTGAAGAATTGAACTAGCGCGCCAAGGGTGCCATCTACCCCACCGACGGCGAGATTTTTCCGAAACTCCAGAATTAATTCATTAAGAAGGTCTGCCGACGGCACCCTCGAGGCCGCTGACGGCGAGCTCGGCGTTTATGACCAATCAGGCTGTGGATGTGGACGATTTTTGGAGGGATGCTTAGGCAACTCTTGGGAAAACTCAACCACAACTTTAAAAGAAGATTTTGGCTGAAAATTAGAGAGGTACTGGATGTTAGAAAGGTCCCGAGAGGAGGGGAGGCTCCAAATTAAAATGTGAAAAAGTGTAGAGAGTCTAAATTGTGAGGAATTCTTCGAGATATTGTAAAAGTGGAGGGAAAGTGAAAGATTTCTTCCTCCTTGCTGCTTCAAAGAAGAATTCTGTGTGTTGTAAAGAAAGGAAGAGATCCAGAGAAACTTCGAGGAGTTTTCTTGGGGAGAAATTAGAGATAAGTTTATTTATTGTTATAGTTTGTATGACTTTGATTTTATATATGAATGCTGAGTTTTGTTGTGTTTTCCCATGAGATCTAAGTAGTTTTCTCTGTCTTTCTCCTTGTCT